GAAAATCACATTATTTGAAATAAAAACAGTCAAAATTCAAAGTCCATTCATGTTTCTAAAACACTCTCAAGGAGAGAATGTGGTTGGACTTTCTCAGAGTGACTAAGAGCACACATTTTAAAGAAATGCTTCGTCAGCATTGTTCTTAGTGAAGATCTGAATACATTTTTTCTATGATAAAGAGTAACGCAAGTGCTGGGCGGTGGTGGCACATGCCTTTAATCCCAGCACTTGGGAGGGAGAGGCAGGTGGATTTCTGAGTTCAAGGCCAGCCTGGTCTACAGAGTGAGTTCCAGGACAGCCAGGGCTACACCAAGAAACCCTGTCTCGAAAAAACAAAAACAAAACAAAAAAAGAATAAGGCAAGTATGTCTTCATTCCTCACCACTGTTGTGACGCATAGTACTAGAAAATCTAGCTGGGCAATAAGGGCAAAAATGGAAATAAATGCATGAAGATTAAGAGAGAATAAGATGATCACATTTTCAAAACAATTAATAAAATACTGTATTAATAAACACAATATTAATTAAATATTAATAAAATACTCTATTTTTAAAGATAAGGAATAAAGTCATTGCTATTTTCACATGAATTATGTATTTAGAAAATTCTTGGAGATTTATAAAAATCTGTGGTTACTTCTACAAGATCTGCACAGGATTGGGCATGTCAACCTTCCATCATAAATAGAGGAGGGTCTTAGGAGGCACATCTCTCCCTGGGGAGTGAACGGAAGCTAATGATGGCTGAAGGAAGTGTAGTTAACTTCTTCAGTGCTATGGCCACTGGTAAGTTGTTCAAGGGAAAACAAACAAATAAATGCTTGTGTGTAATAGTAATGAATGAATGTATCTAGAAGTTTTACAAATATAATATTATTTATAATCACAATAATGAATCAAAATGTTAGAAATAAATTTGAATGATGTATTAGACACAAATCTAAAATTGTACTGTAAGTGTAATACTCTTAAATTCTGTAGTTTTGGTATACAAACAAACTAGTATAATTTTATAATATTTCCCTTTAACAATTAATTTTAGCCATAGTTGTTTTAAGATACAAGCCATCATACTATAGATAAAATTCCATTAAATATTCCTATTTTAGTCTTCAGTATTTTTTCTTTCCCCCTTAATTAATTAATTTATTTACTTTACATCCCAATTGCAACCCCCCTTCCAGTCCCACCCTTACAAATCCCTCCCATCCTACTTTTCACTTCTCCTTGGAGAAGAGGAAGCCACCCCTGAGTATCACTCCTCCCTAGAACATCAAATTGCAGCAGGACAAAGTGCATCCTTTCCTGTTGAGGCCCAACTAGGGAAGGGGATCCAAAGGCAGACAACAAAGTCACGGACAGGCCCTCTCCAATTGTTAGGTGACCCACATGAAGACCAAGCTGTACATCAGCTACAAATGTAGACTGCAGTATTTCAACATAATTCTGTATTCCTTGTACAATTTAAATTTTCACTTTCATGTGTTTAATCAGAAGCTTTTGATACAGCATAATGAATTCCTATTAGTAATTTTAACCTTTGTTTTTCTAGAGACATTTTATCATTTCCATCTCATTTCTGCAGGATAGTTTAGACAGATAAATCGTCTTTGGTTGAGAATCCTACTTTTCCTTCAGCTCTTTGATGGTCTCTTCCTACTCTTTCCTGGCCTGAAGGATAAGGGCTGAGAATTCTGAATGTATAACTTGGATTTTCTAGTAGGGTCTATTTCTGTCTTTTCTTGATTTACATTTTTCTGTCTTTGATTTTAGTGAATATATGATTGTATGGGCCCTTATGAATATCTCTTTAATAAAATATAATAAAGTTTTGATTTGAGAAATTTAAATCAAATTTAAATTTGGAAGTACAGAGATATCTCTACTTATGGTTTAGAAAACTCAATGTAGTAAAGATTAATACCAATTCTCAGTATTACTGTAATTCTTCTCAAAAGCCAGATAACACTTTTTATAGATAATTTTAGCCTTGGTTGTTTTAATAGGAGCAAATCATAATTTTTATAGAAATGTAAAGGAACTAGGAAAGGAACATTTAGAAAACTTAAGATGAGGAGCCCGTGTTAAAATTGGTCCATACATAAATTACTTAAGATGGTACTGATCATTAGTGAGAGGAGATATGTGTCAGTCAGTGGAATAACAACAAAATAGCTCCAATGGCCCCTCTAAAGGCTCAAGTGCAACAGAGGATAAGTGTCCAGAGTTGGACTAACTGGACATGTGAAGGCAAAAAACAAACAAACAAACAAAAAGCTTGACTTAAGTCTCACAACTTATGTGAAAATAACCCAAGTTGATGAAGGAGCTACTACATGTAGCATGTAAAACTCTAAATATTGTTTGGAAAATATAAACTATCTCAAGCTTTAAGATCTAAATCTAACAAAGAGGTATAGTTGACACTGAAGACATGGCTCATAGAAAAATTCATTGGTATGCTTCATCAAAATGAAAACGTCTTGGCCTGGGGGAAATGCTGTTATAAAGACTAAAAGGCACACTGCCTACCTGACTAAGAATTAATGTATAAAGTAGCTTCAGTATAAAGCAAATACTCTAACATGTGCCCCCACTCCAGAATTAAGGGACCCCTCACTGCAGTAAATTTACAAATGAGAAGCACATAAAATCCAGAATTGTCTATTCATTAGGGCAATACAAGCTAAGGCTCCATTGAGACACCACCAAGCCCGTAAGATGTTTGCAAGACCACATGGGGAAAATATCCAGGTTGCTGTTAGAAGGGTAACATAGCAACATTATCCTGAAAAGAAGTTTGACACTTCTTAAAACATGAAACTGCCCTAGAACCCAGAATATGTACCCTTGGAAATTTAGACCATCTAAACAAAAACACTCTTACACCAAAACATGTACATAAAATGTGTTAGTGGTACCATTACTAATAGCTAGACTTGGAATGATCCAGCCACTACCCAGTTGTGAAGAATTAATCATTTATAGCCCTGATGTCACCCAGCAAATAAAGGCTATAAAAATGCACAAGAGCTTGGACCAGGTTCAACTGAGAAGGGCCTATTCCCACTGGCTATATACTGGATGGGACTATTTATATAACATTCTTGACATGATGAATCTAAAGAATATAGAACAGATTTGTGTTTCCTGGAGCTAAGGAGGAGGAGAGGCAGGGGGGAAATGAATGTGGCTATAAACAGCACCAGGAATCCTGGTGAAGACAGAAATCTGTTGTCGCTTGATCCCAGTTGTGAGGTAGCAGAGTTTGGTGAGATGCTACCACTGAGGAAACAAGGAAAGTGTTGCATGATACATGCGTTCCTTTCCAATTGCTTATTAGAATTACATCAGAATTTACAGTTCTTCAAAAATATATATCTTAATTTAAATCTTAAGCTGTTATTTTTTTATAAAGCACTGTGCACATTTGTATGTAAAAGTTCCTTTTTCCCACACAGTGATACATACTTCCTATTTCGGTTACTCAGAACATATCTTCTATAATCAGTTGCATAATTACCTTCCTGCTGTTCTCAAAATGAACCAAATCATTTAAAAATTTTATTTTTTAAAACAAACTGGGAAATAAAGCTGGTCATACACATATTCAATTTAGGATATTGGATTTGACATGAACATTTCTGAAATATTAATGTGTGAATATTTAAAATACTTAATTAAAATGTTTGTAAAATGTCTGTGACTGTTTTCATGTGAGCAGAGGTTTGTTTAGGAAGTAAACTCCACAAACTGCTTTCTTGTTCCTCAATATCCACATTGAGTCTAGAGCTACCTAACATTTTTACTGACTAGAGCTAAAGTCTAAAACTTTATCTTTCATATATGTATATGTATGTGTATATGTATATATATAGTAATCATTTCAATGCAAGTTCATAAAAAGAAACATATATCACATATTCTTTTCTCTGAAAACTTTACACTCATGCTTATATATGTTAAATATACAGGAATATTCTAGAAGTTTTATAATCTGTCTCCTTTAATAAAAGATGAGAATATATGTTAATCCATAGCCAAGTATCTCTATAAAAATATAATAAATTAAAGAAATGAAAGATTCTTAAAATTTTTTTCTTCCTTGCTCTTGCTAATATATCTAGTGACTACAGAAATCCAATATAGAGGGGCTAAGGAGAGGGCTTATTTGTTAAACCATTTTCCTTGCACACACACACACACACACACACACACACACACACACACTGTGATGGTTCATCTTAGAGGTCATCTTAATTCTATCTGGAATCATCTAAAACCCAAGCTGCTAGGGACCCTTTGAGGAATCTTATCTATTTTTATTTAACTTTTTAATTGATCCTTTGTGAATTTCATATCATGAACTCCAATCCACTCTCTTTGTACCTGCCCTCCACCCTCATACCCTTTCCTGCCCAAAGCGAAAAAGGTGTGGAATCTGTGGGTTACAATGTGTTCCACAGTATATCCCTTTGTCCACACTCTTTGCTTACAGATGTTCATTGCAATGATTTGTTGGCTTCATTCAAGGCCTCTGGCTTCTACTACACTATCAGTACTGGACCCTCACTGGGACGCCTCACAGTTATCCTGTTGTTGGCCTGTGTCATGGAGATCCTGCAGTTTTGGATCTATAGGACCAACTCCTTCACATGCTCCAGCAGTTCATAGATGGGGCATTGGGCCAATTCAGAGCCCTGGATCTGGGCCTGTGTGGTAGCTGGGCTGGTCAGCATACCAGCTCTTCCAGACTCACACCACCAGGGGGAGCTCTCTAGAAATGCTCCTGCAATCTAACCCAATGTAGCAGACAGCAAGGGGGAGAGAGCTAGCTAGCTCCCCCACTCTCATGCCCTAGAGGCTGGGTCACTTGTGCCCAAACTAGTAGGGTCAGCTCTACTGTGCTGCCCAGGCAATGTGTAGGGCCTGCTCTCCTGAGTGCTGCAACAGGTGAGGGGCAGTGACAGCTTCTCTATTCTCTCATGTTCCTAGGACCAACTGGAGGTAGGGGGCAGCATCTTTCCCTTGCCCATGCCACCACTTAATAGACAAGTTGTGGGACCAGCTCTCACGTGGTCATTCCCTTGGGACCAGCTCACCTGTACCCCTGCCACCAGGGTCGGCTCTGCGTTGTGCAAGCAAGATGCAGAGCCTGCTCTTCCAAGTGCTGCAGCTGTTGAGGGGCAGGACTCTCATGACCCCAGGGCCAGCTCTCCTGCTTACTGCAGCAGGCAAGGAGTGGTGGGGGATGAGGGATTTTCTTTATCAGATTATTTGAGGTAAGTAGACACACCCTAAATCTAGGCCACACTTTCTGGTGGCAGCCCACATCAAAAGACATGATAAAAAGGGAGCTTTTGCTTTTGCCTGCTTGTCCTCCCTCTTGTTGGCAAGTTTAATTATACTGATGCTGTGACTAGATTCCAACATAGACTGAAAAACAGCAGTAGCCCAGGAATCATCCTACAGAGGCTCAAGCCTCTCTGCTGATCAACTACTGGATTCTTGAGTTTCCCATCAGGAGACAGCCATTGTTGGACTACCCAGCCCATAGTCTGTAAGCCACTCCAATAAATTCCTATAAACACCCCCCAGTTTAACATTTTATCAGTTCTGTTCCTTTAGAGAACATTTATTAATATGAACACATTAACTTAAGTTCTAAAGGGAATAAAATTTATACTAGTAGAACTCTCCATTTTCTACCCGCTTGTATTGTCTTTCTACACTCTTGAAAGCAATGTCAGTGTTTTTAGTAAATGCTCTCCGTATATGGAAGAGGAAAATTTCCCATTGATGGAAAGGTAAAACTTGGCTCTTAGCTGTAATTGTAATTTTATATTTACTTCTTTTTGTTTTATCTGTATAATAATTACGATCTGGAGTCAGGATAGGAGGATTACTCATTTTTAATTCTATACCCGTTTTAAGTTTGGCCCACCTGCTTACTAACTCTAAGACCATACCGGCATCTGAAGTCCACAAATGGGGAACAGTAAGAGCTATGTGCCCCCTCCCCAAGTTTCCTTTCTATCTTTCTATTTTACACATATCTTACTACTCACTGTGTAGCTCTGGCTGTCTTGAAACTTACAGAGATCTTCTGCCTTTGGATTGAGGAGTAAAGGTATTCTACCATACTTGGGTAATATCGACTTGTAATACTTATCATATAATCTTTAAAATATAACAAATTTCAAGTACCTATAACAACATCTACTCACAAATACATGACATTTATCTACATTTACTTCAACGCCTGTGTGGAATATATATGTATGTGTATGTATATGTATATATATATGTGTGTGTATCTGTGTCTATGTATATAGTTTTACATAGACACATACATACACACACACACACACACACACACACACACATATATATATATATTCCTATATATGTCTGTATTTCTATCTATAAAGTGAATGACTATGATCAGTATAGGGGAAGCATGGCATTTTACCTACCTGAGGTTAAGAATTCTACATCATTAAAATAAGTTTTAATCCTATTAATATAGCACACACATGCACACATGTGTGCACACACTAAATCTTATGGGAATTTTTTTTTATTTTATTGAAAAGAAAATACACAGATAATGCTTTTAATTTTTATGCATCTTTAACAAAAACATTGTTGGACTTCTTCAAATTCCCTTTTTCTGCTGTTCTCAGAACATTCAGGACTAGACTGGAAACATAGTTCATGGCAGAGCACTTGCTAGGCATGTTTGAAGCCTGTGTTTGATTCCTAGTGGAGACAGAGGCAGAGAGGTAGGGGGAAGCAGAAAGAGAGAGAGATTTCACTGGGAAATCTAAGGTGAATGGATCAAAGTTATTTCTCTCTCTTCCACCTTACATGGAATTAAAGTGGTACATTTAAAAAAGAATAAATCTACAGAAGTGCTGAAAATGACCATGTTACTATGGGATATTCTCAAAAATTAAGGGAGATCTGGTGGGGTAGGGGTGAGGGAGTGGGGACATCCTCTTTGAGACAGGGTGGGGGGAGGAAGTATGGGATGAGGAACAGTCAGAGGGCCAACCAGGAGTGGGATGAAGACTGGACTGTAAAAAAAAGATTAAAAAAAATGTTCGATTGAGACAAAACCAAAGAGAGAAATCCACAGTCCAAAGGAAGGGGATGAAGGGAACACATCACTGGAATAATAAGCGTGATGTTCTTAGAGCCCTGAAGGAAATCCTGAGCCACAGGGCATGGTTGCCAATGCCAGTGAGAAGAGCTTAGGGCAACTGAAGAACATCAGCATCTTGTACTTGGAGCAGTGGGCTCCATGGTTTGTCTAGAAGGTAGCAATGGCTTCCTGGTGCTACAGGAGTCTATGATGCTCCTAAGGAGTGAACTGGACCAAGAGGGAGAAATGGGACCATATCTTGGTGATCAAAAATGGCTACTCAAGAATGGTAGACGTGTAGATTCTACAAATGAAAGAAAATTGGTGACTTTCGTTCTTCTGAGCTGGTGTTCCTTCTCCTGACATGATCATCTCCATGCCATCCATTTTACTGGATACAACATACTTTCTCTTTCAAGGCTGAATAAAACACCATATATGCATACTATATTTTTTCCTATGTATATTTATGGATGAGCATCTGGGCTCAAGAAATAACTTGGTCATTGGTCCCTTGTATCTTAAGTAAGGAAGGAATGCAGCTTAAGTTGTTTGTTTATTTGTTTGCTTGTTTGTTTTAATATGTATCTCGAAGGACCCTCCATACTTGTTTCCATGGTGGCTTCGTACTTTCCCACAAGGTGTAGGGATTCTTTTTTTTTTAATAAAAAAATAACTTTGACAGTATTTGTAGTAGGACAAAACAAATTTTGTACTTAAAAATCCCTAAAATATTGTTTCTTTTCTTTTTGGGTCCTATGATTTATCTCCAGAGTTTAGAACAGGACTTGGCATTTAGCTGATGGTTACTGTTCATTTGCTGAACAAGATGATAGATGTATAGTAAATGAAATTATTCAGTTCTTCCAGAATATGAAACACGAAAAGCACAGCAAGATTCTACAGAGATGCTTGTGAGAGGTAAAGTCACAGGATCATAAGGCAATGCCAAGTTAGCATAGAAATGAGTAAATAATTCATCAAGGAAACAAATGCATAAACCCAGTCTACATTCAGAAATGTATTATATGACAAATTAACATTTCACATTAGTACAGAGTTCAGAATGCTGGCACAACAGCCTGTAATCATTTGGAGAACATATTTGTGACTAAATCTTACCATGTATTATTTACTCAGAAGACCCCAGGTTGATTAAGGCCCTCAAAATAAAATATGCTGTTTGTTCATTATTTTTTTTTTTACCATCTGACCTCTTCCCAAAAAGTTCTTATGAAAACACCTTTGTTGTATTGAGACACTGGGCCAGTGGGCGGGTGTCTAGAAAGTGTGTCATCTTCATGTAATTCTATTTAATTTATTTAATATATATTAAATAATCTATTAATATCTACTAAATTATTTATTCATATAAATAAAAATTAGTGAAAAAATTATCACAGCTAATTTTCTCCCATTCTGCAGTCTTTCCTGAGAACTCACTCTGAACCTTTCTGGCTCCTGTCTGATTTCTTTAATATAAACCATTGACTTTTGCTAGAACCATGTTGACTCTGCACTGACACCAACATGTTCCTCTAGATCTGTTTGACATTTAGTTCAGAGGGTGTCTTAAACCCCTTATAATTAAATTAGGCAATTTCAAATTATTTAATATCAACTTAAATTTTAAATAAAAGGATTTTTTTATTTAACAACCCATTAGTTTAAATAATATGAAAAATAATAGAGGAAAGATAAAACAGATCTTTGAAGCATAAGGAAAGTTTGGAATGAAATATTACATTACCTAGTCAGGAATTCCTTCTCATTTTTGTCATAAGCAATGGCTTTTATGTGGTCTGCCATAATGACATGCACTTCCTAATGTTGCATTAGAATATATTCCACTTACATCTTTGGTTACCACAGTACTCCTATAATAAGTCCTGACTGGTGAAGATAAGTGTGACAGATATACATCACCCTTCCCATGATAATAGAGAATTCACACATTGGTTCATTTGCACAGTTCTTGGCTGAGATGGGTCTCGGTTCTTTGGTATACATCAAATGAACTACACTGGGCCCTACTGTTGGGCATGCCCTGTGCTTTGATTTAGTGCTTTTTGGTCTAAACAATGTTTTTATATCTGAATTAGTTTTGCCATTGAGGTCTATGGGGTAATAGATCATATGTTTTGGATATGAAGCTTAGACACTCCAGACACATCCTTAGCATATAGAGTAAGATACTCAGAGGCTGCCCACCTCCAAGCCTGATGCTCTACCTGCCTAATAACTGTACCCCTGTGTGCCAGGGAGGGTCCAGTCCCTATGCTGTGAGAGGACCCATGCGTGAGGGACCAAGACATTCAGTGACAGATAAAAAGCACCCTGTAGTGAGCTTCTATGAAAAATGTTTTTGTGGGGGATGGGTGTTCCTGTTCATCTCCTCTAGGAACAAGGACTCAACTTTTTCATGTTGTGCTGGGTCCACAATGCCACACTGTGAGTTCTGCATCTCGGGAGTCTTCCTGTGTCTTCTATTTCAGCTGCTCACAGACATACTTTTAATAAATCTTTTGCAGGGGGCACAAACTTTCTCTGTAAAAGACCAGAAAGTAAAGTAAGGCAATGTATCTTTGGTGGTCTTACGGTTTCTGTGGCAACTACTGACTCTGCTAGTATAACAGAAAACAGCCGTGGGCGATACACTAATGAATGAACCTGGTCAGGTTCAGTAAAGCTGTTTGTGCTTTGTGACGGTTCTCATGTCAGTAAAAAAAAACTCTGTGGTTTTATTTTTTCCTCCAACTATTAAACAGCTGAAAAACATTTTTTAGCTCCCAGGCTTTACAAAAATTGGCAACTTGAATTTGGTCCCTAAGCTGTAATTTTATGAGTAAATACGTGTTTGGGAAACAGGAGCTATGGGTGCTAGACCACTAGGGAGAGAAATGTCATACAGAGGGGTTACCACAGAGAACACAGCGCAGTTGGTGCAGGGACACTTGATGCGTTCCATCAATATTTTCACTGAACTTGTAAAAACCCTCCTTGTACTGAGAAAATTCCATTTATATAGTTAAAGAATTAGAATGGACCCATATTAAAATCTATTCAATGTTCTCAGTTGCCAATTTTGTTATCACTACAGTCTCTATTGTTTATTCTTGTGGCTGTAATAGTATG